ATTTATTTTTTTAACCTTGCCTTATACACAGAGGCATTGTTGTGTTAAAATAGAAAAGGGTCCCGTTCAAACTATTGCTATAAAATTAGAAGCACAATTCCCTAGAATATCATTATATGCTTAAACATTAAGATTTGTACTCGTGGAAATTACTAAAGTAGTCAAACCTGTTCATTAGAAGGGGGGTCCCAATACTTTGGGCAATATAGTGTATGTTTGGTGCGGTAGGGGGCCCAACCTCATATTCTTTCATAGGGCCCAAAATTGCTAACGGCGCCCCTGCCTGTTGTCTTGGCTTTACTCAAGAAAGCTTCTGCAGAACAGCTGTAGGAATATTACCTGGGGTCTGTAATTACCGACCTCATTATCATTCAGTAATGAGAAAAAGTGGCTTTGTGACCTTCATTTCCAACAATTACTTTATATATTACCAGGTTGAAGACAAACACAGTTCCTCACATAATGTATGGCATTTTGATATCTTGAAGTGGTCTTGACCTCTATGTACTTCTTAATTACACCAAACACTGCCTGCAGTATGGTATCTGAACTCTCAGTTGTCAGACTCTATGATAATCTGTATTGATTCCAACACATTGAATATGATACCAGACTGGAGCTCATTCCAGTTTGCTCAACCAGTCAGGAATATGTTATTAGCCATGTAATTTGCATAAGAATCCCAAAATTTCTATATAAAACGTTTTGTATTTTTTGTATACAAATCAATATTTTTATGTGGGAACTATCTATAATAGTTTTTAGGTCTTCAATATTTTTGAGGCATGAGTCATTTTGTTTATTGCATTTCCTGAATTTCCTCAGCATCCTGAGTCCTTGATTCACCCATGTATCCCTATCAGAACTCTAAAGCCAGTAATTTTTATGTAACAAGAGTCATAGTCATAAGGATTACACCTGTATTTAATTTTGTTTGGGTGATATAATGTCCTCTTCAGTGCTGAATATTCCTATTTTCATGAAACGTTATTTTATCAGGTACGTCAAGAAAAATCTCATAAAAAGTAGGATAAGTTTTCTTATGAAAATTGAAAGCTCAATGAAAGTTCAAATGGAATCAAACACAGGATTTTAATGTATTAAATGTTTGGGACCCCTTATTGCAGTGTTTCTTGTAGTTCTTGTTTGCAGTTTTTTTAGTTATGTCAAACTCTAAAATATTTTATTGTGTAGAAAAATTAAGTAAAAAAATACATGTGTGAGCAAAAATTTAATTTAATGCTAAATTAAATTACATAATTTGTCATGATTGCAAATGGAGTATAACATTATAAAGTCATATAAGACATTACATTTTAATAATGAAATGCTGAATTTTAGCTTCTAGATGTAGTTGAAGTTAAAGCTGCAGTCCGTAAGTTTTGCCTCTTTGTCGCCATCTCTGTTTAAAAACCTGCAATTGCAGCTGTCTGCGGAATTATCTTCCTTGGGTTGTGCTCCGGCACGGCTTCAGCGCAGATGAATCTAATTAGGGATGGGCGATACCTCTTATTTTATTTTCGATCTGATACCGATATTTTCAAGCCCAGTATCGTCGATACCGATACCGATACCTAGGGATGGGCGATACCTCTTATTTTATTTTCGATCCGATACTGATATTTTCAAGCCCAGTATCGTCGATACCGATACCGATACCTATAAACTAAACTGATCTTTTAAATTAATATTAATAATATAATCAGTAATTATACTCACTTAATATTAGATTTTAAAGCCATATTTTTAACATTCCATAGGCCTTTTTGTTTACACTATAAGAAATAAAATATACTATAATTGTATTTTAGCCCTTTACTGGGGCAGTAACCTCAAAGGTGCAACTATACCCCTAAAAGGGAGCATATTAGTGCCATACAAGTATGAATGCTTTAAGGGTAGATAAGTTACAAAGGTGCACCTTTGAGGGTACCTCATGAAAAATAAACATGGTGTTACATAAGTACTAAAATGTATTATTATTATTATTATTACCATGGTAAATTTGTGGTAACTTCAGTTTTACTACAAATACTGTGGTAAACTGTGGTTACTGTAATAAAACCATGGTTAATTTTTGTAAAAGGCTGCCAGGCTGTTGTACCCCTAAAGGTGAAACTTTAGCATATTTTTTTTCTGACAGATTTATTAACAGCAATTACAGAACATAACACAATCCATTTGAACTTTTAACAACCAGTTTAAATAAATTTACTTGCACAAACTAGCCAATTTAAAATAAATATTACATGTACACAAAAGTTTGGGGTCAGTAAGATTTTGTAATTTTTTTTAAGTCTCATGCTCACCAAGGATGCACTTATTTGAGAAAAAAAAAACAGTAAAAGCAGCAATATTGTGAAATATAACAATTAAAATAACTATTTTCTATTTTAATATATTTTAAAATGTAATTTAAAATGCATCTGGGATCAAAGCTGTATTTTCAGCATCATTACTCCAGTCTTCAGTGTCACATGATC